TTGGGGGGTTCAGGGTATCTCCTAGTCGAGCAGTCTCGACTAGAGCCTTCTTACTACACCTATTAATGTGCCCAGCAAAATTTTGAGTATTTTGTGAAATACGCAAAAATGATGTTAAAAATTAATATTTTTTAAAACTTGTATATATACATATTGACAAAACAATCTCGTTCACAAGACTGAATGCAATGTAAATGCTGCCGCAAGAGACTATTTACTTATACCTTATTTGATTGGTCCTAGTCTGACACCAAAGGAATTACTTATCCCCACAATTTCAAACCGAAAGAGTCACAAACTCGCTCCTCACACTCGCACGATCGGGTCCTGTCCTGCCACTATTAAGGAATGCCCGATTGACATTCCTGACTGCACTATGCATCAGTCATGAGTGCTATGCGTGATAGGACATTTTTCTCAGGTGGAAAGCTGAGAGAGAGTGAGTGAGAAAGGGGCTCTTCTGGACTTTATATCTGAGTGTGTTGTGGGGTAGTGACACCGTTTGGTTCTTGCAGTCAATCGTGTAGAGCTTAAACATCAATTCATCAAACTCACGCTTGTCGCTGTAGAAGATTCCTTCCTCGAGCTGGCACAGAGTGCAGCCCTTTTGAGCGACTATTGAGGAGACGTAGCCGTTGCTGCTGGCAATAGAGTTGCAATTGATGAGCTTAACCTCTAGCCAAAAGATACCGATTAGCAGCCAAAGGAGGTTGGCTCGATTGCGCTTCGCCTTGCTGTTGCTGTTGCTGTTGCTGCAGTTCATCGAAGGCCACCTCGAAAGAATGGTCGTCGTCGGCGCATACGCAGTGCCCACAGCGTGTGCTCTATATGGTTTGCTCTTGCTGTTACTGCTGCTGTCCACCTCGTCCTGCCCGATTGTTGTCCACACCGCAATGGATAGGCACGTGGCATCACTACTGCTATCATGGTACTGCTGCTGCTTGCAGCTCCCGGTCTGTCTGCTGCTATTGTTGTTATTGTAACGGCGTCGCCGACGACGACGCCGCCTTCGTCGACTCCTTTGCCTCTTCCGGTTATTAAAAAACATTTTGCACAAGTTATTCGTTTTCAATTGCTGATCATTGGTAATATCATAGGAAGCGTGACCGTGCCCATATTGCTCCTTCAGTTTACTGTCAGCATTGTTGCTGTTGCTGCTAGTGCTGGTGCAGTTGCTGGTAGTTGCGCTGCCAGCAGCCGGGTTTGTGGGTGCTTTTGACCATAAGGCACGATAGCTCACTTTGAACAATGTTAAGTAGCCTATTATCAGCGTTAGAGCCGCTACTATCGATTGGCAGGCGGTGCTGACAACAACTATCGGATGGAGGCTGACGCCTCTATAGAGACTGATGTTACTGCTGCTGTTTCTGTTGTTGTAGCTTGTACAGCTGAAGGTGTTACAGGTGCAACAGGAGCACACAACCATGCAACATCCCTGGCGACAGCAAAAGCAGGAGCAATTGTAGATACATTTGACGTCCTTCGCTGCAGCTGCCGCTGACTCCCTTGTAACCAATTCCTGTTGCATGAGCTCAATCATCATCGTCAATCTCTGCTTGTGCAGCGTCTGTATGATGCAGTTAGTGTGGCTAGTGCTGCGCATATGGCAAATCGCTCAATAGTCGGCACTCGCCATTGCACATCCGCGTTCACTGCCTGCAATGGAGAGATATCAGCATAAAGTATAAGCAATATATCATTTTAAAAGCATTTATTACCCAACAATCTGAGTAATATCACTAATCATACAAATGCCAACGACAATTTCGTTTTCTAAACACACCCTAATCCACGTAAATGCGAATATGAAAGCGCGGTGGAAAGTATGCAACAAAATGTAAGTCGCAAATGTAAAAAGAGCTCATAGGATGGATACTTCTCTATAAGTTTAAAATAGGCAGATTGAACGTAAAACTTAATAGAAAACAAGTAAGAAAGCTCTAGTCGAGACTGCTCAATTACGAGACCCCTGAACCCTTCGAGCAAAATGATATTTCAATAATAATTCGCACACTCACACACACTCACATACACAGGTGACTGCGTTTGGGCTGCGCTGCAGTGTTGGCAATTTTATGCGAATTTATTTGTTGAATAATTTAATTTCTACACGTACATCTTGAAGATCGTTATCACAATGTTCAAATGTATGTGTATTCCGAAGCACAAGTCTCTATTACTTGAAATACGCATTTTACAAAGATGATGGTAAGCGGGTGGATATAGGGGTGGGGGTTAAATTTTAACAAACGATTACTGAAATATCATTTGCTCGAAGAGTTCAGACCCCACAAAGATATATGTATATTCTTGATCAACGCGACGAGCAAATTCGATTTGGCCCTGTCCGTCTGTTTGTCCGTCGATCTCAGAAGATATAAGTATAGTAAGCCCACACTGCAACCAATGCGTGTTTATACTTGCAACCATTGTTTTCCTGTGTGTGAGTGTGTGTGTTTCTTGTATAAGCACACACAATTCAGACGGAGGCAGAAGAGGCCATCTCGCTCGATTTATATGACATTGCTTTCATAGGCATAGACGAAATTGGAGGGGGAATTGAAATAGGATCTACATAGGATCACACATCGTTTGATATACTTGAATAGTATTTGTAATAAAATTTCAACTTTCAACAACTTTTATGAAACTCAACTGATGCACACATACAAAATGTAGGTTCACGAGTACAAATATACTTCAAACCATTTGTAACGGCTGACTGACAAAAGGATGCGACGAGACGACGCCAACAGCGCCAATATAAATGACAGCTGTGGGCTGTGGGCTGTGTTGAAGGGGTGCAAGCAGGACACAACTACTTCCACAGACACAGCCACAGCCAAATTGGAGAGTTTCTTAGCTTTAAGTTACAATGACACAATCTATTGTTTTTCTTTCTGTTTTCTTTTAAGACACTTTATTTTGGCTCCATTCAAAATTGTCCCACGTGAAGCAAAAATTTATTTTTCTCGTTTTAATGTGTACATATAGATGTTTTTAGATACATATATGCATGTAATCATACATAATTATGTATACACATAAGGTAACTCGTTCGCTATAATACGATTTTTATTCTTTCACAAATCCATGTGCTAAGCCTAACTTGTTGATAGTAGCTTGGTTTTCTTTAGCCATTTACTAAGTATTAAGCCCATTTAAAACAAATACTATCCCGTTTGTTTGTTTACAAGTAATACTGCATACATACATATGTGGGCATACACACAAGGACACAAGCACACACACACTCGCACATTTACATTATTGTATGAATTTATTTACATACATACACACACTAAGCCACTCACAGACACATACATATAGCTGCGCACACATATGTATATTAACATGGCCAATGGAGACAGTACGTCTGGAGCACATTTTTTGTAGATGGAGTGAAACACTTTTGCTAGCCGAAAACTGCAAAAATTCACCAATCACATGTACATACACAGCCACATGTTATGTACAAACATATTTATATTTATATGTATGTACGTACATATATGTATATGCTCTTTACGGATTCTCACAAGGCGTTGTACATTCATATGTATGTGCACACAACTAAATTTCCAACATTTATACATACATACATATATTCATAGATGTATGTTCTCTCCATTTGATCTGGTTAGTTTGGATATCCTTTTTTATAATGTATAAATGTTAATTTAAATAAAAAGAAAATTATATGGATTTGTAAGCTTGCAAGTTTTTAAATTAAATGATTTTGGTTTTAGCAACGAATATATTAGGTATTAATAATATTATATTTATAACACCTTGAAAAGTAAATACAACTTAGATTTGCCGAACTTCTTTTTGAGGATCACATAATTTTTCAATCATTTAAGCTTCGACTTCAACTAATTTTATTTCAGCGTCAGCCGCTTTTGCCCGGATTAAAAAACGTTTGTTCCGCTCGGTGTTAACGGACTAACTAAAAATTGAAAACCGAAAACTGAAAACTGGCAGCACGCGAGCGAAACAAAATGGAAGTCGGTATTTCAACAGCTGATACAGTAGAAATTCTTTCTAGCTGCTTTTTACTAAAATACATTAATCGCATATTGCAAATTTATTCATTTCAATATGGAACGTAATTTGCGTAAACATGAATCAAAATATATAATTAAATATATCACTGTTGTATATATAATATATATATATATATATTGTTCAACATATATTAATGTAAATTTGATTTGTACTGTTTTATTAGGAGGACAGTCAATAATGAGAGAATCTTTAGCTGGTGTTCACTGTGCATAAGGGCAAACAAAATAAATGAATTTGCTTTACATATCAGCTGATAGTTATAGCAATGTGGACATAAGCTCGATGTTATAAATCAAAGCAGCATAATTTAGCAGCACATGAGCTACGCTATAAAGATTCAACCGGTAAAACAACCTAAACTAAAAAACTAAACTAAACTAAAAGTGTTCAAGGGATTGTCTGATTAATAACTGATTAATAACTGTCTAGAAAGGGGGTCAGAATAAAAAAAATGAGAAAAACTTATACTGTCCAATTCGTGACTCTATATAAAACTTGTGATTAGCTGTCCAGCTCGTTTTATGTAGTGTCATGCAAATTCAAACGCGCGCGCATCATTTTTTAAAGTATGACGTCACACTGCAATTCAGCTGTTCGCTTTGCATGCTCTACTAATTCCAATCGAGTGCAGTATCAGTGGCAGTATACAGTGTCTTTTAACAGTGCATATTAGGTGAGCAAAGCAGTCAGTTAACAGCTATCATGGTAAGTAACGGAACTGCTCTTTGCGCAACCTTCTGTGTATTGTCGCAAAACCGAGGGCTAAAAGTAGTTAACTTGTTTCTAAATTAGGTAAAAATATTCATTATTCAATATTCATCAATGAACAATACGTTATTAAGGTACTCTGTTGGAACCCTATAATCAAAGCCACATGTAGCATGTCGACGTGATTCATCTTATTTTTATATCAGAATTTAAATTAGTTGTTTTTACTTTAAATCTAATATTGAGCTTAGCATCGGACATAAAATGCTTAATTTTGTTTTTAATAAATTCACCTGGCAGAACAAACGCTCCACTTCAGCGTTGGACGAGGGCACTGGTAATAAAAAATGATCAAAATCAAAATTAACCAATTCTGCTATTATCTCACTTTCATTTTGGCCAAATGTGATTTTTAATGATACCCTGATTTGTAGCTAATAGCTGTTTTAAAATTTCAGTAACGGTCTGCAATAAAAAGCAGCCAGATGTAGCTACGAAACAGCTGATTCGGCAACACTGGTAAAACAAGGAAAAATGTTAAAACACGTTATAAGCAGCTGATCTGTTTCGTTTCCAGTGTTTCCAGTGGTGAAAGCCTTGTCTATTATGTCAGCTGTTCTGTTGCGATATATATCGATATATTCATTGTGTGCGTGCGCAAAAAAGAGAAGCTCCATAAATTCGCGGCATCGCTTACAGAGAGTTACTCAAATTCCGTGGCTAGAGCTGGAACTCGATTTCAAAATCGCCGTAGAAATACCTATACTTTCTATTATATTAATTCATAGTAGATAAATTCAAAAAATAATAATAATAATAATAAATACAAATAATGATATATGTACATACATATATTATAGTAATTATGTTTCCGTTGCGATTTCGGTACAAAGATTCAGTTGGATTTTCTGTATACATAGTTGTCCATAGCTCGAACTATACAAAGTATAAGTAGTTAAAGCTGTACCTGTCTATTTTATATCCCCCATGCCCATTGAAATTGTGAGCTAAACTTTCTTATCGCTCCTTCTCTCTCTCTCTCTTTCTTTCTCTCTCTCTCTCTCTCTCTCTCTCTCTCTCTGTCTCTCTCTCTCTGTCTCTCTCTCTCTTTCTCTCATTGTACATTGAATTTAGAATGATTAAATCAACGACCTATGTAAGGTTCTAGGTATCTCCCAGTCAGCTACTCCCGGCGAGAGCACTCTTACTTTGTTATACTCATTCACAAAAGTGAAACGAGTATATTGGCTTTGCGCGATGTCTGTCTTTCTGTCCGTCCGTCTGCCAGGCTGTCCGTATGAACGCTGTTGATTTCGGCGCTATTCAAGCTAGAAACTTAAAATTTGGAATACATACTCGTGTATATCTCTGATTTATAAAGTGTTAAAATTTTCCCGATCCGCCCACTAGAGGCGTGGCAAACAGGAAAACGTATTTGCCGATATACTAGAAATCATATTAGTTGATGAGCTAGAATGCTGAAATTTGGAATATAAATCCGCGTCGACCATCCAAGATCACGAGCTATGGCGGAGTTTTAAGGCTAGAACGTTTAACTTTTGCACGTGAGCTAATGTTATGATTCAATAAAGATTATTGAAAAATTATATGTCCACACCCACCAGGGACTTGCCAAATCAGACCTGAAGATATAGCGATTATTTAAATTCTGCTATATTTTGGACACTATTGATGGTAGACACCTCAAATATTGTACATACATATACTACGCCTAGTAGGTGCCTTGCAAATCGAGAAGAACTGCATTTCTTCAGTATTAGAGCTATACTTGGC